TCACAGATCTGAGCAGGGCTGAGATGGGGGGAGACCCTCACAGGCACAGAGGGAAGCAGGAAATGGTCACCCAAGAGCCTCAACACCCTGCTGAGCTTTCTGTCATCTTGCAGGTGAAAAAAGCCCTAGAAATTGCTTCAGTTGAAGCCCCTCCTACCCCAGGTGTCCCAGCAGTGTCCCATCCCGCTCCTCAGGTGCTCAGGGCATGGGAATTACCTTTCTGGCGTTGTCTGCATCAGAGGCACTGTCTTTACAGGTCCTGTTCTCATCCACGGGGAACACGGCTGCCTGCTCTGCTCCATGGTCATCCTCCTCCTCCAACTCATCAGAGTCCTCCTCTTCAGAGTCCACATCTATGCTTTCCCCGTTCACGTGAGGGCTGGCATCACCCAGGTCCTTGTCACTCTGAAAGTTGCGACACGTGGGCCACAAGGACAACGTCAATCCCCGGGATGGAGCGGCTGGATCCAGCCCAGAGCTGCTCCGTGCTGGGAGCTCCAGAGCTGCCAGGGGAAAGCTGGGTCTGTGTCCCTCCAAAGCCCAGCCTGGGAGCCTGCCATGTGTCACCCAAGCCTGCTGGATGTGGGGACTGAGGGGCCACGAGGAGTCATTCCAGGCTCACGTGGCTGTACGAGGCATGAGGGGGAGCAGGGGCTGATTCAAACATTGGGGGCAGCTCCACCGAGGGGCAGAAAGGTTTCTAGGGAATGGAAGTTACATCACATTAGGATTTTCATACTGCTCCATGAAGTCCTAGCACTGTTCTTCTTGAATTCAAAGATCAACATTTCGGGGTTGCAGCAAAAGCAGAATTTGATCAGGAGCGAGTGGGTGTCTAAACCTTTTGTAAGCAACCAAGTGTTGTGTACTGTGCAGCCTCAGGCAGCAACAGGAGACCTTGAGGACACTGAAACAAAAAGGTCACACCACCTGGGGCATGCTTGAAATCTCTCCAGTTGCCCAGGATTCACTGGGCACTCAGCAGAAAAAGTTTGTTTGAGGGCTGGTATCTGAACGGCCACTCTCAAAATGCCACTTCCAAAGCAGGCAGGAAGCTGCTGCCAGAGAGAAGATGTACACATGGAAGGGAAGATGACCTCAACAAGCCACCAACAGCCCTGCAGCTCTGCATGGGGTTGGTGTGCCAAGACAAGGGACGTGTGTGTGTTTGTGACAACAGACATGTCCAGGGGGCCCAGCACTGCCCTTACCTTGGCACCTGCAGAGGAATGAGTTATGCTCTTGAACATCTCAATCATTGTTCTCTGTTTTAACACTTTGGTCTTTTTCTTGGGAACCAGGCTATAGGTTCCCATTCTCCGCTTCTTCTTCCGAGATACTGCAGCAGCTGGAAAAGAGGAGCAAAGGAGACCCAAAGGTTGCTCAGGAATGAAAAGAAGAAGGGATAGAGGGTAGGGGATTGTACTGGAGAGGGATCTGGATTGACAGGACAAGGGGGAATGGCTTCAAACTGCCAGAGGGCAGGGTTAGATGGGATATTGGGAAGGAATTCTTCCCTGAGAGGGTGGTGAGGGCCTGGCACAGGTTGCCCAGAGAAGCTGTGGCTGCCCCTGGATCCCTGGAAGTGTCCAAGACCAGGGTGGAGCAACCTGGGCTGGTGGAAGGTGTCCCTGCCCATGGCAGGGGGTGGAACTGGATGATCTTTAAGGTCCCTTCCAACTGAGACCACTATGGGTTTCTATGAAATTACACTTGAGGGCATGATCTGAGAAAAAGGCTTCCCACTCCAACTGATTTATTTACAAGTCAACCAAAAGATGACACACACATATGTGCAAACACACAAACAGCTTCCTGCCAGTGCTGCAAACCCACCCAAACTCTGAGTATCCTCTCCACACTCCTTCTGGCCCCTCCAGCATCACACACAGTATCAAATCCCTAAATTAGCCTGTGTTTGGCAGTGCTGCTGGTGTCGTAGGAGGCTGAATCGAATCCAACCTGCTCAAATAGATACTGCAAGGCCAATAATACCAACTGACAATGAAAGCAATGGGACAAGAACTGAAGAACACACAGGGAAAAGGTACCTTAAATAAAGAGCAGTTTGCCATTTAACCTCATTTCACACCTACTATGGAAGCTTGTTTGATTCCTTTCACTACTTTGTTTGCGTCTTAATTAGTTAAGTCTCCCTCCTGGCCTTCTGATCAAATCAGACATCACACCTCCCTGCCTGAGGATGTCCTTGGTGAATAGACAGCAGAAGGATGCTTGGTGCAGGCTCTTTTAGGAACAGCCAGATTCGGCACCAGGATCAGTGTTTGCAGTTGCACAGCCTGTTCCTTGAAAGCATTCCTTCATCTCCCACAGTGATGGAATTTCAACAAAAATCCATGAAGAGACCTCTCCAAAACATTCTGTTAACCCAATAATTTCATTTATAAAGCTGTAGTTCTTGATAAGCGGTTGTGGTGATATTCAAAGTCCTTCAGAATTGGTAGAAACTTCTTCAGAACGTCACCCAGGAAACAGTGATCAGAGTGACTTCTCTAATTAAAGCTTTTAGCAGAGGTGCCTGACAGAGCTCAGCTGCCCGTCCAGGAGGGACCTGCACCCCAGGAGGACACAGGGTGGAGCAGGAAGGACTGCATGGGAAGTGCTCCCTTCACTTGGGAGGGGACTTCAACAGGGCACTGTGAGAATGTCCCCTGTCCAACACCCAAGGGGAGCAGCAGGGAGTCTGGGGACACGAGTGTCACCTTTGCAAGGCACTTGCAGACAGTGAGTAGGTGAGACAACTCTGACTGGCAAGGTCAGTAGCAGCAGCAGGAAAGGGAACTCTGAGTAGGAAAAAGGTGCTGTAACAGAGGCTTTGCTCCTTGTTAACCTCCTCATCTCCCCCCACACACACAGGCTGGGGAGGTGGGAGCTGCTGAGGATTCTAGCTCCCTCCTCCTTACCTGTCTGCGACTTCGTGGTGGCCACATAGCTCTGGTTCTGAGGTAGTGACTGGTGAAGGCCCGGGAGAGAGGGCAATGACAACGGCTTCACAAAGTCCAGCATGTTCTCAAACTCCTTCTCCTTGGGTTCTTTTTGATCTCTGCTGTCTCTCCCATCTTTGGGGTCTTTACTTGCGTGCTGCAAAAAAACCCAAATGCCGTTTAATTGAGCCTCTGCTTTAAATAAGCAATTAAAAAAAAAAAATTAGAACACTGATTTAATTCCTCTCTCTCGACCGTCATCTGAAGGATGGAGCACACATTCACAGCAGAAGCACACAGCCCCTCCTCCAGCGCTTCAGGATGCTCTGCCTAAGCACTCCCAGGCTGCTTGGAGTGACTCCCTGACTGGCTGAAGGCTGTGCAGGTGACAGGTGACCTCGCAGAGGTAATGACAAGGAGCAGACACTGCTCACACAGGCCTTTGGTTGGCTCTGAACAGGACAAACCAAAGCAACACCTGCACCTCTTCCCTGGAACGTGCCCTGTCACAGCAGGCACGTGCAGGAACAGCCCTGCAGAGCTGTTTTGGAAGAGCAGGCAGGAGCAGGAAGGGAGCCTCCCTTTAGGACAGCATTTGGCACCATCAAGGCTCCCACCTCCAGCCCAGCACACGACAAAACACGGGCAAGGGAGCCCTTTGTTTGTCATTGCAGGTCCATCTACAGAGACCTGTCCAAGCTTCCTTTAAACCAGGCTCTCCCACTCCAGCTGCTGCCACATCCCAAATCCCAGGCAGGCTACAAGCTCCTGCTGCACACCAAGGGAATTCTGTAGTTGCTCCTGAAGCCCCTTCCAGGCACCGAGGCTGCTCCAGTTTGAGCTTGTGCCCAGTGCAAAGTCTCATCCTGCACCTTTGGTCATGAAAGGATTGCTCCCACAGCTCCACAGAGAATCATTTAGGTTGGAAAAGACCTTTTAGATCACCAAGTACAGCCACTAACCCAGAATTGTGAAGTCCACCACTAAACCATGTCCCCAAGTGCAATTTCTCAGCTTTTGATGTTTCTTCAGTGTTCTTTCCTCTAATTCAGGAAAAAAAAAAATCCCCTTCCTGAAAGACTGTGTAACTCCATTTTATGTACCCTAAAAGCCTCAGACAGAGATGCCCAGACTGTATTTGTGTTTCCCTTTTCCACCTGTATTTATTCTTTAAACAGCCCTGGTTTGGGTTTAATGGTGCTTTTACTCCTGTGTCTTTTGTACCAAGAGTGGCAAAGGCAAGTCAAGGTCAGTGCAAGGCCTCGTGGTCCAGTTCAGTGAAACACTTTCCTATCACAGCCAGACAATCAGGTACCTGCTGAGAAAGAGCAAGAAATGGAGGCACAGAAAACAAAGTGAGTGTTTGTGCCTCCCTCCCACAGCACTGCAGCCAGGGGGTTAACAGTGCATGGGGTAAACTCTTCTGAGACATTTTACACGGGGATTGCCCTCAGATTTATTCCACAGATGATCCAGCTGCATCCATGCAGGAGGCAGGTTTGGAAGAGCTTTGCTCCAGCAAACCAAGAGCACAGGAAAGGCTGGGAGAATTGGGATTGTTCAGCTTGGAGAAGAGAAGCTTCAGAGTGATCTGATTGTGGCCTTCCAGTGCCTGAAGGAGCTACAAGAAGGATGGAGAGAGACCTTTTACAAGGGCCTGGAGTGACAGGACAGGGGAAAATGGCTTCAAACTGACTGGCAGTAGGTTTACATTAGGCATTGGGAAGAAATCCTTCCCTGTGAGGGTGGGCAGGCCCTGGCACAGGTTGCCCAGAGCAGCTGTGGCTGCCCCTGGATCCCTGGAAGTGCCCAAGGCCAGGTTGGACGGGGCTTGGAGCAACGTGGAATAGTGGAAGGTGTCCCTGCCCATGGCAGAGGGTGGAATGAGAGGAGCTTTAAGGTCCCTCCCAACCCACACCATTCTGTGTTTCTGTGATTCTAAGATTTTAATGCTGTTCCACCTGCTGGAAAAAAAACTTCTTATGAGCCTTGAGAAGCACAAGCTGAAACACCAACACAGGGAGAGGAATCCAGGCGAGGGTAGGGACGGAATAAAAAGTAGGAAGCAATAAAAACCCCTCTGTGGAGCCCAGGTTCAGACAGGCACCCTCAGACACTGTTGTCAAGTAATGTGACCTTGTGAGCAAACAAGGAAGAGGCTGATTCTCCTAATTATGGCTCTGCCACGTGCCCAGCGCTGGCAGAGCAGGGCTGGGCCAGGGACAGCAAAGCTGTAATGATGATCAGAAATGACCCACATAAAAAGGCCATCAAAGGGCCAATGATTCCTGCATCAAGCCCATAACTTATGGCTGAATTGCCACAGCTTTTCTAAAAGGGCATCTAGTCTTGGATTAACGATTTCAAAGAAGACAAATCTACCACATCCTTTGATATGTTGTTCCAACGCTTAATTGCTCTCACTGCCAAATAATTAAATGCATTCTGCTTTTTCAACTAAATTAAAAAGCACTGTCTCATCAGAAACTCTCACTCTCAGGAGATACTTATGGACTATGACCAACTTTTTTTTTTTCTTTTTTTTTTTTTTTTACTTTCTCTTCAATAAGTTTAATAGAATGAGCAAATTAAGTGCCCATAGGATCATTTTCTGGACATTGGATCACTCCTGAGACTGCTCCCAGTTCGTTTACCCCTTAAAAAAATGGATGTCAGGAGTGCTGGGCACAGCACGCCAAGAAAAGCCTCAACAATATTATTTATACCTCTTAAAAGTCCTTAGTTTATGGATCTAAAGATTAACAGCCATTCTTGGCTACAGGATTATTGTGAGAATTCCCAAGCCCCCTGGAATATTCAATGCTTTCCATTTCTATCTTAAAAAACGAGCTTGGGAGAGGCACATGTGACACAGAGCTGCCTGCAACAAGTGGACACAAGGCCTGCATTTTGTGTCCTTTGTGGGCAGGTTCTTGCAATTGGTCTCTGATAAAAAGGTGTTGTTATTCCCAAACAGGAGGAATTCACATTCAAACCATGCCAGGCAGTTTGGAAGAATATAATCCAATTTTTAAATTAAAAAAGGAGTGTGCTATTAGCTTGGGGTTTTTCTCTGCCCCTGTAATTACAACACGGAAATCACCTTAAAATCTTCAACACGTGACAACTGCTAAATGTGACTTTTTCGTGGCAATTCTGGTAAAACAGGGTGGGGTTTTTTTTTTAAATCAAATTAGGTCTTGTGAGATCTGGATTATCACTTAGAGGCATGTGCAGCCATGGTAAGGAACAAGAATTCCCACAGGGAGGTGAGCAGATCTCTCAGGGGACCTGATGGCATGGGAGACTGAGCAGGCATGAATCTCTCATAGACAGACAGATAGATAAATGGATAGATGATAGATAGATAATAGACAGATAAATAAATGGATAGATGATAGATAATACAGAGAGAGAGAGAGAGAGAGAGAGAGAGATGATAGATAGATAGATAGATAGATAGATAGATAGATAGATAGATAGATAGATAGATAGATAGATAGATAGATAGATATAAAAATAAAATATTACATCTAAGGACTGCAATAAAAAGCATCAGCCCAGATTTGTAAGCACTTACAGCCAGTTTTCTCACCATCTTTCCTCATTCTCAGCTACATAAAACAGTTACATCTTTGCTGCTCCTATTAAATTTTAGACCTTCAAAAGTGGATTTAGTGGATGGAAGTTCATTCTTCTCCCATTCCTGGTGTCTCTGAATTCTGCTCTTCACTCGAGGCTGTGGCTGCAGCCCCTCCTGCTCTCCTGCACTGAGCTCCTCTGCTCTGCTCTACCCACTCCAAACGTCAATGCTCCCAGAAGAGAGGCTTTGCTCACTCAGAACTCTGCTCTTCCTGGGAATTTCTGCTTCCTTGCAATCCCAGTCAAGCACTGCCGGGCCCTTCCCTGCACAGACAGCTCTGCTTCCTCCTCTGCCTACTACACCTGGCTCCTCTGGGGGAGGTGAGGGAGCAGCTTCCGAGGAAAGCAGCAAAGGGAAAAGCCAGACTGTGCTTTGGGAGGGGGCCAGTGGGTGCCAGGCTGTGTGGGCACAACACCCTCCCACCTAAGCAAAGCAGAAACAAGAAATGACAGTGATCCATTTAAACCCAAAGCTTTCAGCCCCACCTGCCCCCCCCCCCAGCCCCCAGACCCTCAGAGGACATCTTCATCTCTTGCAGCTTCTCACGTGGTATCAGCTCACCCCACGCAAAAGGCTGCAATGTCACTGTTTCATCTTGGGCATTGCAAGGAGAAGTGAAGAAGCTGGACAGCTACTTTGAACATTTCTAACAATGCTTGTGGCAGCAAACAGCAAAAAATGGGAGCTCCACTATGGCCAGCACCACTGGGAGAAATGCAGTCAAGAAAACTGCTTAGATTAGGGCAAGAACACAACATTTTGTGCATTTACAGAAATTAAACCAAAGCACTTTCTACACTTTAATGGGATCGACCACATTACTATTACTGGCACGGAAGTCCCCTACAGCAGCAGGGGGAAGTCACTAAAAATGGCAAAAGATAGAATATCCTCAGGTTTTGGTGGTGGTGTTTGTTTTTTTTTTTCCTGAAAGCAAAAATGCAGAACAAACATTCCTAATTAACCCCTGTGCTGGTTTGCCAGACCACACCCTGCATTCTCCCCGCAGCCCAGCAATTTAGGGGTCTTTCCATGAGCAAATCCAGCGAGCTGGAAGGGGAAAACCCGAGCAGAATCCATCCTAGTGCTGGTGGAAGGACACAGGCACAGGTCCTGCTGGTCCTGCCTGCAGCAGGGCAGCTCTGGAGAGCTCTGCAGAAGGACTGACACCCTCGATGCCTCGAACCACCCCAGGCTTAGAAGGACTTACTTTCTTATTTTTCTCTTCTCTTAAAGACTTCCATCTCTGGCATAATACAAGCTGGAAACCAAAGCCAACTGGCCAGGAGGACTAAACCAAGCAGCACTGCCACGGGGCAGCACAGCAGCTGCCAGGGAGCTGCTCTGTTCCCTCCATCCACGGGGCACAGGGGGGGCAGGATCTGTACCAAGGCCCTGCCTTTGAGGAGCACGAAGCAGCAGCTCCCAGGGGGACCTGCCCCTAACAGCTGGTGAATGGTATTTAAACAAGAAATATCAGTCTGCAATAAAAAATTGATCACAGGCAGATGACAGTGCCCGTAGGAGCTGTAGTGGTGCTGCTCTCCCTCTGCTGTGCTGCTGAAGGATTATGGTTTTTATGGCTGAATTTCAGAATCCCGACCAAACCTCACCTTGGAGCAACAGACAGAAACCTGCAAGGCTTTGGTCTTAATCTAGATCAGACAAAGCTGATCCACCCTTTATCTGCTGATCAACATGTGCCCATTAGAGGAGGGCTTCTGCTTTGACTTGATTAGAGTTACACTGATTCGAGTGCAGTCACTTGTCTGCATAAAATCACGGTGGTTTTAGGCTGCCTGGCAGGCTGAGCTTAAGTGCAGATGTTCCTACAAACTTGCATGTAATGGGTTTCTGAAGTGTAGATATTCCTACAAACCTATATTTAATGGGTTTCTGAACCAGAGCATTCAGGGGTGTGGGCTCTCATCCCTGTGCCCTCGAGGATGGAGCAGCTCCAGGGGGAGGGACTGTCACAAACCAGTCAAAGCGAAACAGGGGAGCTCAGACCAGATGTGACAACAAAGCCCCTGACAGAAATAGATCTGCCAGGGGCCAGGATTGTTATTCTGGGGGCTGTGGTTGGTGCTGGGGCAGCACCTTCAGCCAGTGCAGACACCTCAGCAGCACCAGCGCAACCAGTTAAATGCAAAATTAACTGTACTGCACAGCACACCTTCCCCTCCCCCTGCAGCAACCCCTCCGTGGAGCAGCACAGTGGCACCCTGTGACTTTGTCACTCCTGAAGATTTCCCACCAGGAAAGAGAGTGAAGGGCCTGGAGGGGCCCTACAAGTTGTGGCTGAGGGCACTGGGTTTGCTCAGCTGGAGGAGACTGGGATCAGACCTCACCAGGGTCTGCAGCTCCTCCCGAGGGGCAGCTCCGATCTCTGCTCTGTGTGAGCAGGGACAGCCCCCAGGGAACGGCTGGAGCTGTGTCAGGGCAGGCTCAGGGTGGATCTCAGGGAAAGATTCTTCCCCCAGAGGGTGGTTGGCACTGAACAGGCTCCCCAGGGCAGTGGGCACAGCCCCAAGGCTGCCAGAGCTCCAGGAGGGTTTGGGCGACGCTCTGAGGGACAGGGTGGGATTGTTGGGGTGTCTCTGCAGGGTCCCTGCCATCAGACAAGAGCTCTGTTTCACTGCACCCTGTGCTTTTTATTTACTGCCCCCCAAGGAAACAATATCCCCATCCTCATCCCCATCAGGCCCTGCACTTTTATTTTAAATTCTCTGCATGTTAGAGGGTCTGAGCTTGCTGAGCAAGCCCAGACACCTGCAATCCCCTGTCTGCCACCTGCCTGGCCCCAGGAGATGGAACACAAGGTGTTCTTAGGTTAGAGCTCCCACAGAGCTGGGCACTGACTTGGAATATCCAGCCCTTCAGAGCAGCACCTGTGGGCACACAGAGAGAAGGCATTACCAGCTCTGGGATCAGACACTCCATGGTAACCCTGCTTGAAGGTATAGTTTGATGAATATTGGTAGAAACACCAGCATAAGCAAAGCATCTCCTACATCACGTCCCTCTTCCCTGCCTGGGGTTTGTCTTTCCCAGGTTAAACTGGGCTCACACTGTGAATCAGGCCAAAATACACATTTAACAGATTTTTGCATTATTTTTTCTCACAGTTCAGTTCCCCCATCTCCGTTCCCTGCACAGCATAAAAAATACCACCAGAAACACACACCTCAAACTCCTGCCTCGTGGTCACCATGCAAGGGAAACAGAACTTGGGATTCCCCATTGAGCCACCTGCTCCTCCTGTCCCCAAAAATAACTCTGGGATGCTTCCAGTACCTTTATCATCCTTTATGCCTCACATTTTGATGATGTTTTAAGCTCAGAAACTGGAGTTTCCAAGCAGGAGGGGCCTTCTCCAAGCACAGGACACAAACACACACACACACACACACACACACACACACAGAGTTGCCTTTCAGTCTGGCCCTGGAAACTTGGATTCTTAACAGGATTGTAAATGGATTAGGAATGAAAGAAAGATTCTTCTGAAAGGTACAACACTTGTGTTACTGCTCTACTCAAAAAGGGAGCAGAAATGATGCTGCCAACAAACAACTCCTCTGAGGTCTCTGTTCAAAACCACCCTAACACGCGACAACATCAATTAAAATTGTCACCTGTTTCAGATTCAGCTTCGATCCAAATTCAGGAAGGAACTCCTAAACAGAGAAAAAGCTGGTTAAACTAGTGAGAAAATTCTTTTCTTCCTTTCAGAGACCAATTCACACGTGCAGGAAAAGGCTACCAAGGTCCCCTGGCAGCTACTGGATTACAGAAAACAATTCTTTGGCCCCAGTGGGTTTCTGCAGGAGCCAGGGGGAACAAATGCTTACACTTTGCAGGCAACAAAATACCTTCCTCCCCTTCCTTCTCCCAGGCAGCACAGCTCTGCAAGAACAGTCCTACCAAGAAAACAACAATGCTCTAAGAAATATTAGCAAAGAAAACCACTGTGTCCTGTAACATCAGCTTCTGGGTGATTTCCACAATTTATTTCCTGGGATACAGCACCTGATTTCATGGTGGTTTTGAAGAGGAAAAGGTGTGAGCATGGAAAAGCTCCTGCACTGCTGGGCTGAGGAGCCTCTTCTGAGCAGCTCAACAAAGAAATAATCAGGACAGAAAAACGACAGCTAGCAAGGACTCTGCTCCTCCAAAGAAAACAGCATGTAAATTCCAAAGACAATGGGGAAAAATTAGGTAGCAATTATCAGGAAGGCTGAACACAACAGATGTTTTATTGTCTTGCAGTACCCAGATCAAATCTTGGGTTCATGTTCAACTGCAGAGGCTTGAGCAGAGAACATGGGAACAGCCTCTTCTCACCACCCTTCCTGGGAATGTTGCTTCTCTCCCTATTTTAAGCCCAAGGCAAGCGGCCAGAGGAGCTGAGGACTGGCTGTGTACTTTCCAGAGCAGCCCTACAAGCACAGACTTTGGTTTTTGAAGCCACTTTTATCGTGTGAGCAAATAAGAATCACCAGCACCATCCCTGAGTCGTGTCCTGGCTCTCCAAGTGCTCCCAAACTCCACACACCACTTCCTAGAGACAGACCTTAAAGCCCAAGGGTTGAATATAAATATTCTTTTGATGTATCATAAAATATGAATGAGGGAAACACTCCCTCCTAACCTAGCAGAGACTTGACTTTTAAAAGGGAATTGCCCCTTTCGACTGCTCAGCCCCACGGGATCACTCCCTGTGGAATTCCACGAGGGTCTGAGGGTTTTCCCGGCCTACTTTCAGTGCACAACAGGCTGCTGGAGGAAAGCTGTGAGGGAATTTGGGCTGCAAAGCCTTCTGTGGGTAAGAGACAGCCTGGTGGGAGATGTTCATTGGGCTGCACTGGGGCACCTGGGCCCTCCCTCCACGAAACACGGCGGGCTTGCAGAGCAGGCAACTCAAAAACAATCAGGGCAAGACAGAGGGGAAACGTTTGGGAGACTGGTTGGGAAATCACAGCAGGCAGGCAGGCAGGCAGGCGTGCTCCCTGCCCTGCTGTCAAGCCTGGGTGCCCACAGGTTTGTTATCTTGCTGTGCTCTTTGGACTCCCACCTGCTCCCGCAGCCACGGGCACCTTTCCCCACCTGGGGCTGGGCGAGGTGCCACCCACCCCTCCCTTTGCCTTTTCCCCCTCTCTTCCCCTGCTCCAGATGACAGCAGCTCACAGCTCTGAGCCCTTCACCCCACACCGCTGCTGCAACACGTGGGGGACACGTGAGGATCACTTTTGATTTGCTGGATGGTACCAGTGATCCCTCACACCCACCCCTGAGCGGCTGCAGCAGCTTCCATGCACTCCTGGGAGTCACTCCCATTCCCAAGCAGGGTTGGCAATCCCTTCCCTGGCCTAAAAGGCTGGTCTCCCTCCACCATCAGCACGGCGAGAGGATCCAGTTCTCTGTAGTTAAATATAAAGCAGCACAGGGATGAGGACCAACTGCTCGTGGTGGGGACCTGCCTGCTCCAGGATCTGTTCCCTACCCCTGGCAAAGAACCAAAAAAAGTAACTAAAAGACCCAAACTTGTCTCATTACAAAGAAAGGCCCATTTCTTCTCCCCACTGTCCCATGAACACACCAAATGACATCTCCTTTTGCCTCCTAAAACACAAAAAGGCAGAGCTCTGTTTCATGAAGTGGTGGCAAAGCCAACCTAAGGATTCTGGAGTGAACACTTCCTCACAAGCTGCATTTCTGCAGGCAACAGAGAGGGAAAACATCATCTGGTTTAGCCCATAATGATTCCTACAGCAATGCAATCAAGCTGCCTAACAGATCAGCCTCTTGACAGCCTCCAAGCTTAGGAGAAGCCTCAAGTTTACATGCTATGCTTAATTTCCTTTGGGTCGACCTTAGAAGAAATCTAATTTGTTTCACAGGCAGCTCTGGATGTCAGCAGACAATGAGCAATAGAGCCATGAGAGAGAGGCCATTTAGTGCCTCACATAGATCTGTTGGAGAAGGCAATTGATCAATTATATATTTAGAAACCCGTTGGGGACGGGAGCTGATGGTGGCAATGTGACTATATTCTGGTCTCTCTGTGGGAAGAGAACAATAAAAATAAATATATTTATAATATATATATTTAAAAAAAAAATTTAAAAAATAAATCCATTCAGTGGGCCACCTCTGAATTTACACACTCCCATGCAGGCAGGTATCCCTCACACACCCAGGGAAAGCCAAGAGCACCCCAAGGCAGTGCTGGGCAGATGATACATTACCAGGCTGGGGGTGGGTTTAGGCATTGTCTTCCGTGCTCTGTGGACCTTGACTTCAGCATTAGCAGCAGGGGCTTTTTTAGCATCCATGTCCTTACTGCCCTCCCCGAGCTTGCTTGGCATCGTGGCTTGGAGCTGGGAAAAGGAGCCCACAGTCCTGCCCTTTCCTGCTCCTCCGGGCAGGGTTTTTGCAGCATGGCCGGTGAGGGAAGCAAAGGTGCTGGTAGTCCTTAGGGGCTGCTCCTGAGCCATCTGCTTGGTCAGGATATACCCATTGCTCCCCGTGACAGAAGTCTGTGTGAAGTCATTTGCTTTCAGGTGGTTTTGCTTCCCGGTCTCTCCGTCCCGCTCCGAGATGCCATTCTCTGCTATCCTATTTAATTTAGTCCCAGAGTCCTGCTGGCTCACTTTCGTGTTGTCCTGAGTGTTTTTCGCTGGGTTTGGGTGCCCTCCAGCCTCGCTGTGCTCACAGGAACCGTTGGTTTCACCGTCCACTGCCATTTTTGGTTCCCCCACTTGCTTCTCTGTAGCGCTTTCATCTGCAGCCATGGCATTAAACCCTGGAGGAAGAGGGAGGAGAAGGAGGGAGAGAGGAGAAAAGGGTCACAAGTGGTATCAGAGCTCCAAAGGGAAGCTACAGCTACTTACAGCGGCTGGTGAGGAGCAACCCTCTCCTCCAGAAACTGCTTGACACGTATCACAGAGGTAAGGTTGCAAAAGGCCTCCAAGATCATTCAACCTTACACCAAACATCACCATGTCAACTGAACCATAGTCCTCTCAGCTTGCTCACTCACCCACCTGGATGACCTGCAGGAAACATCACCTGGACGCCCACAGGGTGCCGTTTGGGGTGGGTGGCTCAGGTGGCAGCAGTGCTCCCATCCTCACTGGCCTCAGCTGCAGAGGTGGCCATCTATTCCCAACCCCGGATTTCTCCAGGTAAACATTCTCTCTGCCTTTCCCAGTAACTCCTCCATTTATTGGACTGCATGTCAACACCTCTCCTGGCAAACAAAACACTGCCCAGCCTTGCACCCGGATCTCTGGTAAAGCCCTTCCCAAGGCCAGACTGACACAGGAAAGCTGAGCTGGGAGGGCTGTGTTTGTGGCACAGATGTAGGAGAGCTCAATGGGTGAGTTTTTGTGGCACAGACACAGCTCAGCAGCCAAACCTACATCAGGGCTCTGCTGCTACAGGAGATATCACAGGGAATAACTCCCTGGCAATGCCCACTGGAGTCTGGCTCTTTACCTGGGACAAGGCAGGACAGGATTCATGGTGTCATTTCAGAGGTAACAGGCAGAGTAAACACAGGGGTGAAGCATGTTAAATGCAATTCTAGGCTAAAATAATTATGTGATTCAAATGCAGCGAGATTTTTGCAGCCTGACTAACAGTTAACCTGCAGCTGAAACATCAATACCCACGTGAAACCTTTCCAAACATTTCCCTGCTCCCCCATCAGTGAATTTTTCCCATCAGAGATTTCAGACCCAAGCTGAAAAAGAATCTGAGTATGAATTCCATGTACTTGCAGGCAAGTTTGTGACATGACCAAGCAGCAGCTCTCCAGGAAAGCAGGAGGGGTAACAAATCACTGGCACGATCAGTAAAATGATTCCATCAACCTGCTCTCAGGGATTCCTTGGCTTGCTCTCCTTCCAGAGGACAGACAGTTATGAGGAGCACCACAAGAAGAAGCAGGGAGAGCTGTGTCTGAGTGGGCTGTCAGGGCAGGGGGGATGGAATCACAACCAGCTCCCATCAAAGCAGTTCTCACCTACAGGAGCAGAAGAGCCTGGAGTCACACTGGAGGACAACTCTGCAAGCCAGACCAGCTCCCTGGGTATCAGCCCCTCATTTCCCACTGCTCTTGAAGCCCAAACACTCAAGGAAAACAACATTATGAATCACAGAATCATTAAGGTTGGAAAAGACTTCCAAGATCGTCGAGTCCAACCTTTGACCAACCCCCACCTTGTCACCCAGCCCAGAGCACTGAGTGCCACGTCCTTGGACACTTCCAGGGGTGGGGACTCCACCACCTCCCTGGGCAGCCCCTGCCAATGCCTGACCACTCTTCCAGCAAAGAAATTCCTCCTGATGTCCAACCTGCCCCTCCCCTGGCACAGCTGGAGGCCGTTCCCTCTCCTCCTGTCCCTGTTCCCTGGGAGCAGAGCCCGACCCATCCCGGCTCCCCCCTCCTGTCAGGGATTGCAGAGCCAGAAGGTCCCCCCTGAGCCTCCTTTTCTCCAGGCTGAGCCCCCCCAGCTCCCTCAGCTGCTCCTCATATGACTTACAAATGCCTCCTCTGGCCTGGCAAAAACCTCATGCCAGCAGTAACTGAGGGTTCCCCAAGCAGGAAACACCAAAACACCCAGTTTGGTAAGAGGAAAACAGGAGTTGCCAGCCCAGCCCTCACCTCCACCTGCTGCCTCTCGCACCACCCAGACCCTTCTGAGGGCAGAAAGAGGCACAAGAGGTTGGTTTTGACAAGAAGAACTCTGGGAGAAGATGAAGTGCTACTTTATTCACCATTTTATTTAACCCTTTCAAAAGCTTTGGGCAGAGGGAACCACAGCTATGCCCTTATTCTTTCAATCCTTGTCTCTCTTTCTGCATTTGGTGTCTTTAAAAGACCACGCTGTGGCTATTTAAGTAACTATTGCAGCAAAATCAGTGCCAGGGGTAAAAAAAACTACAAAAAATGAGCTCCCTAACCACAGCTGGAGGCTTCTAGAGCTCAAATTTAGGCACCTGGCTGAATGGAGCCTTCAATATTTGTTGATTTAAATACTGTGCTCTCCCACCAGAGCAGTCAAATAACTTTAGTGGCTGATTGTTAGATAAACTGAATAAGCAGAGGGCAAGAATTGCTCTACCTGCCATGAAGGCAACCAAAACAAGGTAAATTGGAGCACTGCCCCGGGGAAAAGAGTAACTGCACTACTCCAGAAAGCATCACAGAATTTATCAAAAATCCATGGAGCTAAAATTAAAATCCCACATACACACACACACACACACACACACACACACTCTTATTAAGTGTGTAAAATGTGGTCTGATTTGACTGTGGAAGTGGCATCAATCCCCTATAAACAGGCACCAGCCTTCCAAATCCATATGGCTGGAGTTTTGACAGAGCAAAGATATGGAATTTCACAGTCCCTGAAGCTGCACAGAACTGGAGAACTTGAGGGCAGCTGTCATGGGTGTGGGTTGGATTTAACAGGATTTGGCACCCACTCTCCCTGTCATTGACTGCTCATGTTGAGGGCAAAGCCAGATCCTACAGCCCAGCTCCAGCCAGGACACCAGCACTGCCACCACTCAGGTTGGATCTCAGGGAAAGGTTCTTCCCCCAGAGGGTGGTTGGCACTGAACAGGCTCCCCAGGGCAGTGGGCACAGCCCCAAGGCTGCCAGAGCTGCAGGAGGGTTTGGATGATCCTCTGGGGCACAGGGGGTGACTTTTGGGGATGGGCCTGTGCAGGGCTGAGGGTTGGACTGGATGGTCCTTGTGGGTCCCCTTCCAGCTCAGCATATTCTGGGATTCTGTGACCAAGGGGGATGCATCAAGAGGTGCCAGGATTTGGTGCCTGATGGACACACATCCACAGGAGAAAAGCTGTTCTGGGAACAACTGTCATCAACACTCATTGGCTGGAAGAGTCAGCAGAGGTCAAGGACTGAATGGGAAGAGAGACCCTGTCCCCCTCCAGCCACCGCCAAGTCTGAGACACCACAGGCAGAACCCTCCCTTTGTCTGGGGAAAGAACACCTCCATTCTCTCATTGCCCCTTCTGGCAGCACTAAAACAAATCCATGACGAGGTTGGAATAGCACTGTTTCCCAAAAATCAGGCTCCTGCAAGAAGCCTCCTCATCCCAGGGCCCGACCTGAGCACTGAATTAAAGAGCTCCTCGTGGAGAACCAGGTCGTGTCAGGACCTGCATCGCTTGTTAAGATGGGATAACTCTGGTTTTCCCAACTAAAATGCCTGGTCTGGTAACAGGAAAACAGGAGTTGCCATCCCAGGCTAAGCTGCTGCTCTGCTGCCTCTAACTGGGAGCTCCATGAGCTCCATCCTTGTGTGACAAGACACGTCTGTGAGCCCGAGAACATTCAGCAAGTGCACAGGTACAAACACTGCTGAATAGGCACAATTCCACATGTATTTACACCTTTGCTGAACTCTGACCCACAGACAGTGATGGGAACAGAAGCCAGAGCCAGCAGGAACCTCACGAGGAGAATACTGAACACAACAGCCCTAAGAAGCTCTTCAGCAGCACCAGACACCTAAAGAAGCGCTTGTTCCCGACATGACCTTTTCATCTCCCCTTTTTCATTCCTCAGGAAAAAGTTTCACTGAAAACCTGCTAAAATCTTCATTTCAAACACACCTCGTGGCAGTGAGTTCTCTTGAAAATGCTGCTCAAGCAGCTTTTCTGCTCCTGCGCAAGTGAGTTATAAAACTGAAGTTGGTATTTCTATAAAACTCTACAGCTTGGCAGTGTTCATCCCCTCTAAATAGGCCAAAACAAGGTTTTCTCCACATTTAGTTTTCTCTCCAACTCGTTCACTGCTCTTTAATCTACAACCAACCTTCCCTTAATCAAAAAGAAATGAAAGCAGAAGGTTCTAGCCCATGTCCATGAAGTGTAAGCTCCTTTACTAGAACCACCCCAGATTTTTCAGAGCTCTTTATGCATCCCCTGTGCCATTTGCAGCAGGAAAAGCTCCTCACATGGACCTCAACCCTGCCTGGATCCCCATCCAAGCATTTGGGATTAGTTAAAATCCAGGAACACACAGAAAGGGTAACATGCCCAGAGATTTATTTTCTGTTCTGGTGCCCATTCTCTGGTGCCTGAAGTTGCCACCAAGTCGACACAAACCCCACTAAAAACGTGTCCTTTAGTAACACATCTTAGCAACACAAGGAATTTCAGATTCAGGAAGTCGGGCAGAGCCCTTATCCCTGGAAATCCACGTGGCAAGGAATAATCAGCAACACATTTTAATCCCTTCTCTGAATTAACAACTCCCTGAGAGCACTGTAGAGCTCCCAGCCCTCCCCAGGCTCAAGCAGAAGGGTCAGGCTTAAGTTTTCTTCTCAATGTCACAGTCATTCAAAATTGAATTAAAATTCCCATGAAGAGAACAGAATCTGATTAAAACAGGGGAGAAGCCAAGACAGGGTGAGGCCACCCCATCTAATTTTAGGCAGCTAAAAGGTATCTCAACTCCAGGGTGTCCCTAAAGCCACCGCTGCAACCAAAGGAGAGAAGCCAACAGCTCAAAATCCAAAGGCTGACTTTGGACATCTTTGGATAAACTAATCCCTGCCTGGGCCACATCTAACCTGCCTGCTACCATGTCTAAGCAGAAATGAGCTGGACTAGTTTAGAATTAGCATGATAACCTCAAAAAAAACCCTAAATTAGACAAGATTAATCCCAGCTCTGCTCTCCCAGCCCAGGCGCTGGTTCCTCTCCGCTGTCTTTGCCTGGATTTCCAGCCCTTCCAGCAGAGCCAGACCTGGCTCCAGT